TGCTTCCTAATCTGCTTACTGCTCAGGAGTCATGTAGCTGATGGTCACAAGATGTGTAATATCCCTAATCGCCTGTATAGATAACATCACTATTGTAAAACCTAAGACTCGTATGTAAGATATTTTTCAGATTTTGCATTCTGGTGGAATAGGTGATGCCACCCGGACCAGTGACCCCCACACAGCAACTGACTAGGTGCACAAAGATAGTTTTGATACCTCTGTGATTTCTTCACTGATGGTACCAATCAGCCTTTCCCATTCTCCAGCCTGTTGCCCACCAAACTGTCCTTAAAAATCCTTGCCTCCACATTCTTGGGGAAGTGGACTTCAGAAATACCCCCCATCCTTCCACTTGGCGGGCACTGCAATTATTAAACTTTCTTTGCCATAACACCTGCTGTTCTCAATGCACTGGCTCTTCTGGGAAATGTACAAGAAGATCCCATGGACTGACAATCGATTTATCATCTTAAGAATAATAGTGGGCTGGGCGCGGTGGCTCACACCTGTAAACTCAGCAGTGTTGGAGGCTGAGACAGGTGAATCACTTGAGGCCAGAAGTTTCAGAACAGCCTGGCCAATATGGTGAGACCTCAGTCTCTACTAAAAATACAACAATTAGCCACGCAAGGTAGTGTGGGACTGTAATCCCAGGCACTTGGGAGGGTGAGGCTCGAGAATGACTTGAACCCAGGAGGCAGAGGTTGCAGTGAGCTGAGATCAGGCCATTCCACTCTAGCCTGGGTGACAAAGTGAGAATCCATCTTGAAAAAAAAAAAGTCACAGTGATAAAGGGTAGCCAAGCAGAATCCCCTCAGAGTGGCAATCCCACCACAAATGGGACCAGAATCTGACACACATCATGAAAAGAACAGATACCCCCAATTTAGATAACTAAGAGTGCACTCTTAGGAATTGGTTCTGTAGAAAATTCAAAAACTGGTCAGGTGCAGTGGCTCATGCCTGTAATCCCAGTACTTTGGGAGGCCAAGGCAGGCAGATTACTTTTGCTGAGGAGTTCGAAACCACCCTGGGCAACATGGCAAAACCTTGTCTCTACCAAAAATGCAAAAAACTAGCCAAGTGTGGTAGTGTGCACCTGTTATCCCAGCTACTCGGGGGGCTGAGATGGGAGGATCACCTGTGCCCAGGAGGTGGAAATTGCACTGAGCTGAGATTGCACTACTACACTCCAACCTAGGCAACAGAGTGAGATCCTGTACACACTGGTTCTTTTTTCCAATCCAGGATTCATTCAAGGTTCAGGTATGTTGTTATGTTTCTTAGCCTTTTGAAACCTGGAACAGTCCTTTAATGTTTCTTTGTTATTTATGACATTGACTTTTTGGAAGAATCCAGATAAGTGGTCTTAAATCAGTCTGCTACATTATGCATTGATCTGAGGTTTTCCTGCAATCAGGCTCAGGTTGAACAATTTTGGCAGGGGCACTACACAGGTATTGGTGCATCCTTACAGGCTCATATCAAGAGGTACATGAGGGCTGAACTCTGAACTTCTTTTCTTACTTAAATTCCTAAGGGGCCTAGGGAGTCATACGTTGCAAACCATGAAATCTCATTAAATGTGGCTTTTTTTTTTTTTTTAATTAACGTGGTATAATGTGGCTTCCTTTCCAAGCTGACTCTAGTATGGTATCATATAACAGGTAGTGGGCCTCCTTCTCTAAACCATTCCTTTCCACTGACTCCAAGCCGTTAGACAAAACTTAACTCTTTCAATCAATTGCCAGCCAAAGAATCCCTAAACCCACCTATGATTTGTAAGCCTCTGCTTCGAGATTTCCCTCATTTTTAGGTTGAACCAATTTTACCTGAAATTCTGTAACCCAACCACATAGGGTACACTCTCTCAAGACCTCTTGAGACTGTTTCCCCAGGCCACAGTTACTCATATTAGTTCAGAATAAACTACTTTAGATATTTTGGCAGAGTATTTGTTTTCTTCATGGTTCCAGGCACCCTGCAATCAATCAATACCTGGCTGTAAGTTTCAAATTGCTCCATCTCCCCTCCCCATGTAACTTTTTCCCCTCCCCTCTTAACTTTTTCTCCTTTATTTTTTTCTGAAACATACAACAGTAACAATTTTTGTGGTCGAAATTAATAACTTGATGCTAAAATATGCTTCTTATCATCCATATTCGTTACTCTAGCATAGCCTTATTAAGCATCACAGTCCACTTGAAAAACTTCATCACCATCGAAGGATTAAAAACGAATTGCTATTCTGGTATAGGCTTATGCAAAATTAAGCCAAGAGACTTCTGATAGGCTCCTTCAAATAAAATGGCATGCCATAAAAAGGAAATTCCTTTTTTCAATTTCATAATAAAATTATATTTTCCTATGACTAAACCTTTGCTTTGGAGGGGAACAAATCAGGAAAAGTACAGACAATATAAGTGTTATCCTGACAGTCCCCAAAGTGTTCATCCATTTAGGGGATGGGGAGAGTTTAATACTCTGTATACAAGAACCCTGAATTCTGAATTGTGAATCACATTAAAATACCTCCATGAGGATGGCTTCATGCTAGTAAGACAGAATGGACACTGCTATTAGCTATTTGCAGTGGAACAAATAGTTTAACCCCCACTGCAACACTCGCATTTTACCTCAGAGCATTAAGAAAGGATAATGAATGCTGTATTCATTTATCATGAATTAATCATGAACCCTTTTAGCTATATATTTTTAATTAGCTACTGTGTCTGTCAATTTTTTCAGAGCCCTTCTAGCTGGGTCTAGAGAATGTCATTCTCTCCTGTAGACTAAAATGACTGAAAAAAAAAGGTACTTAAAGCATTTCCCTGAAAAATGTAGTTTCCAGAGGAATAAAAAAATAAAACCCTACTTAGCCGGTGTTAAAGACTTTGAAAGTAAGGTCAGAAAGTCAACCCAGTTCACGTATTATCAATGACTGTAGAAAATAAATTATTCTTTTAAATGCCCAAAAAGTTTGTTTCTGAAACAGGAAAAAGGAACACACAATCCTTTTAAAGAACAAATTACAGAAATCACAATGGAATCTGTTAAGCTGCTCAGCATTAGGAATGAATATAAGCTGCGGCTTTAAGCCTCCACGGATGTTGCTTCCAGACGGAGAATCCTCTGTTATGGGGTTTAAATGTAATAGAAAAAAAAAAAAAATCCTAAAAGGTCATTGTCTTTTTGTTCTCTTTAATTCTTATTCTGATTCATATGCCTCAAAGTAAAAGACCATTGACTATTCTAGGAAGAAAGAAGATTAAGTTAAAGCCTCTTGTTGCAGCCAGCAGAGTTTGTCGCCCTCAGCGCCACTGACATTTCAGATTTGTGAAGAGCGGTGGAACGCACGGTGGGATGATTAGCAGCATCTCTGGCCTCCACCTACTACAAGCACCGCACTCCTAAGTTTTTACGACCAAAACGACTCCAACTACCAAATTCTCTCTGAATGGCAAAATCTACCCTGACACATAACTACTACCATCTGTAACCCCTTAGTCTGAAGCTGCCTTTTGAAGATCATTACATCACCCTGCAAGCCTGCTGTCAGCTCCCACTGCCCTGGCTGGCAGGATCATCCAGGTATTTACCACATTTTTCCCAAAACAGAGGTTGTCTCTTACTTTTTACAAGCACCCTATGAAACTGCATTTCATATTTCATCCCTCTATCCTGTGCTTTTTTTTTTTTTTTTTTTGAGATGGAGTCTTGCTCTGTAGCCCAAGACTCCATCTCAGCTCACTGCAACCTCTTCTTCTCTGGTTCAAGCGAGTTTCCTGCCTCAGCCTTCTGAGTAGCTGGCATTACAGGTGTGTGGCATGACACTGGGTAATTTTTATATTTTTAGTAGAAACGGTTTCACCATGTTGGCCAGGCTGGTCCCAAACTCCCGACCTCAGGCCATCCTCCCGCTTCAGTCTCCCAAAGTGCTGAGATTACAGGCCTGAGCCACCAGGCCCAGCCCCTTTAGTCACTTTTTACAAAGGAGGAAACTAAGGCATGCAGAGGTGAAACAGCCTCCTGGGAACACACTGCCAGCATGGGGTAGAATGGAATCCCTAGCCCAGGTTTTCTGACTTTAGGAGTCTTTTCACACTGATTTGAACCAAATATCTCCTCTGAAAGTACCTTCCTGCCCTTTTCTTTGAGCCAGCTGCCATGGGAGACCATAAAGCGTTCTGAATGGCCAAGTACTGTGCCCCTTGGTGTCCTGATAGAATAGTGCCATAGGGGTGCAAATATGTCAAAGAATGGGTATAAAATAACAGGGATTCTCCCTTGCAGGGGCTTTTAAAACTTTCCCTCATCCACCCCAAAGACGTTCACCATGCACACTTACCTTCTACCAGAGAAAAGAGCTCTTCCTGCAGAGAGTAACCATGCTCTGCCCCTCAGTCCTCACCTCCACCAGGGGGAGGAACTCTTCCTGCAGGGAGAGGCCTAGATATGCCCTCAGCCCTCACCTCCACCAGGTGGAAGAGCTCTTACTGTGGGGAGGGACCCCATTCAGTCCCTCGGGTATTGCAGCAGCTGATCAATTCAGAACGGGTGTACTGTGAGCCTTCTCATTGTGCCATGGTTCTGTACCTTTGCTAATTCAACCAGAGCCACCCCAGGGTTGCAGGGGATGCATTAAAGCATTTATAAACCCCCACCCCTATATTCCTCTAGACTTGCCACATGCAGGCCACTTGCTTATGCTCATCAGATTATGCATGCTGCTCCCACTGGCACAGCACAGTCTTTCTATATAAAAATATATTTGCCCCACAGATGTTCTCCTTTGAATTTTTGATGGAAAGTTCTTTCTGAATGAAACTTAGCTGCAATCGCACCATATTCATGTCATCTCTGCAATATCAGAATGTCCCGAACACCATTATTAAGGTCACCACATACCACTATTTGACTTAGACAACACGGTCCAGGTGAGTCAAACATGTGAGTATCAGGGTGAAGATACACACACATGCACCTCTCATACTTACATTATGAACAGTTGAAGACAATCTTGCAGCAATGTCCTCAGGAAGATCTTAACTTACTTAGATGACCACGTGCAGGTTCAGCAACTCAGGGGCTCTTAGCAGAGTCAAACTAAGGGCATTGGGCTCTTCCTGTGAATTCATTCAAAAGATGAATAATCACACACTGGGTAATCATACATTGACATACTTAAATGACATTAGCTTTTTTTTTTTTAGGGTCTCACTCTGTTGCCCAGACAGTGACATGATCATGGCTCACTGCAGCCTCGACCTCCCAGGCTCAAGTAATCTTCCCATGTCAGCCTCCCAAGTAGCTGGGACTACAGGTGTACCACCACAGCTGGCTAATTTTTATAATTATTGTAAAGATAGGTTCCCACTATATTATCCAGGCTGGTCTTAAACTCATAGGCTAAATGGAGCCTCAGCCTGATGAAGTGTTGGGATTATAGGTGTGAGCCACTGTGCCCAGTCACATGAGCTCTTTCTTTAGTACAGCAGGGTTTCCTAACCCCCAGGACTGTTAGAAGCTAGACTGAAGAGCAAGAAGTGAACAGCAGATAAGCCAAGCTTCATCTTTATTGACAGCCGCTCCCCATCACTTCACATTACTGCATGAGATCCACCTCCTGTCAGATCAGCGGTGGCACTGGATTCTGATAGGAGCACAAACACTATTGTGAACTGTACATGCAAGGGATCTAGGTTACACACTCCTTATGACAATCTAATGCCTGATGATGTGTCACTGTCTCCCATCACCTCCAGATGGGATCATCTAGTTGCATAAGAACAAGCTCAGGGCTCCCATTGATTCTACATTATGGTGAGTTGTATAATTACTTCATTATATATTACAATGCAATAAAATAAAGTACACGATGAATGTGACACACTTGAATCATCCCAAAACCAACCCCCTCCCTGTCCATGGAAAAATTGTATTCCACAAAAATAGTCCCTCATGCCAAAAAGGTTGGGGACTGCTGGTCTAGAGGATTTCTCTCCCCACTTCTCTTCTTTCCACTCTCTGCCTACTCCTACGCATTCTCAGGTCTTGACTTATACACCACTGCCTCAAGGAAGCCCTCCATCATTACCTTACATGAAGCAGGCTCCCTCATTGTTGACTATCATAGCACCTCTTTTCTCTTGGATAGCAATTCTTACTACTTGCATAAGGAATTCATTTATTTCCTCATTTATTCCTGTGGCAGTTGTCCTTTCCACAGCTCTAAGGATTAAGAGGGCAGAGACCACATCTCATTTGTTCCCCATAGCAAACACTCAATAGATATTTTCTGAATTGGGCTGGGTTTGCACAAACAATGGCCCACAGAAAAAAATCTGTCCTGACACCTGTTTTCTTGGATGTTTACAGGTTTAAATGGTTGAAAAAAGGATATTATTTGGGGATAAGTGAAAACTACATAAGACTCAAATTTCAGTGTCTGTAATACAAAGTGTATCAGAACACAGCTGCCTCTACTCCTTTACTGCTTTTGTGCTACAATATCAGAGTTGAGTAGTTGTGACAGATACTAGTTGCCCCTCAAAGCTGGAAATATTTACTATCTGACCTTTTACAGAAACAGTTTTTTGACCTCTGATACACAGTCCTAGAAAAGAATAGAAAATGGTCTCAGAAGAAAGCCAAGAAGATAGGTTTGAATCTTTTGAAGACTTTTCTTTTAACTTGTTGACATTTAGACCAAAAAACTAGTATATGTCTTGAACTATTTATTAATGTACAAATCTATTGTTTATGCTTTGAAATATAAAGCATAATCCCACTTGGTAAAAAATATTCACAAGAGAACATCATATTAGAGAAAAAATACTATTCCATATAGATTTTTGTAAATGTGAATTTTGCTTTATTGAAGTTAGGCTTCTAGCGACAATTTCTGAGGTTCAATCAGAGTCTCAGAAATGTTATTTTTCCCCCCAGAGATGGCATTTGAAACTGTAATCAATCTTCCAGTATGGCTTTTCATGTTAGATTCTTGTTGAAATGGAATAGTGTGCTGTCAACATTGATCTTTGACCTCCCACTGCAGGAATGACAAAACCACTGGGCAGGGTCGCCCCTTCTGTTTATTCACCATGACATCATTGGGTAAGACTAAGATTGCATGGATGTGGGTTTGAACAATTGGGTGACTCTCCTTGTGAGGTAAAAAAGATCATTATTTTCCCTTTGTCCTCACCTTTTATTTACAGAAAATAGATTTTAAGGTATCAGTATGGAAGCTCTTTGACCCATACTTGATATTCAGTGCTTACCAACCCCACAGTGATAAATGAAGACAAAGAAAATATCTGAACGGATTAAGTCACAATGCCTATCACAGTGGTACTGCCACTACAAGCCTATACTTACAGAATGAAGCAGCACAATGTAAAATCTAAAGGTCCGCATTCCAAGGACATTTTTCAAGTTAGTATTAGATGGGTTGTCACCCAGGAGTAATTTTACCCCACCAGGAACAGCAGGTAATATGTAGAAACAAGTTTGGTTATTGTAATTGTGGGGATGCTAATGGTATCCAGTAGGCAGAGGGCAGGAATTCTGGTAAATATCTTACAATATACAAGGCAGGCCCCACCACAAGAACCATTCAACCCAGTGCCCACTCTCAATCAACAAAGAATGGTCTTCTCCCAAGTGTCAATAATGCCAAGGTTTAGGAATGCTATGTTAGATCCCTCATCCAATGCTCATTAAAGTAGGGGTGGAGGGAAATGGTACCCAACTGATTCAAGCAATCATACCTTGTAACTATTATGATGGTTCCTCTGCTACTATCACAAGTTATATGAAAATAAGTCTCTTCTGATAAAACATATAATCCAAACCATAGTCACAGAGCAAGAAGATTGAAGAAGATAAAGAGGTTAAGCCTGTTTTATTAAGAGGAACCTAAATTCTGATTTATGTGTTCAAAAATAATAAGCATGCATCTTTATCCCCTTGAGTCTCTGTTTATCTATAATCTTCATAACTGTCATTTGCTTGGCCCTTTTTTCTCATTTGCATGCCCCTTCCAAATGAAGTTCCAGCTGTACAAGACTGAAAATGATAATGATCTAAGAATGGCACGGGGTCTGCCATCCATTGTCCATAATTCTGAGACATAAAAAGCCCTGAAAACCAAATGATTTTTGTAATGCCCATTTTTGTTTTATCGAGCAGCAAAACCCAAACTGAAACCAACTTGAGGCATCAGTTATTCTCAGCCCGCCAGCTTCTGCTGTTCATTAGTATTAGAGTACTTTGTTGTGACTTCAGGTTTAATGGCACAGGTTTAATTTTGACTGTGAAAATGTCAAAAAGAGTTAAAGACATCCTATGTGTAACAGTAAGAAGAAAAGAACATATTTATCCTTAGCCATACCTCAGGCAGTGTAGTTATTAAGGAAGACTGTGGTATATTTAGAAAGATAGGAAATAAGTGGAAAGATTAGTTGTTGAAATTTGACTGACTTTGAAATTTGCCATAGGGTGAACCACATCCCAGTGTGTACAGGACTGATGAGGTCCAGTTTTCAAACTGGGACAGTCTCAGGCAAACTAGGATGAGTCATTTACCCTACTTTCTCATGAAAGCTTCCAGAACATTTCATGTAAAAGTAAATGCTGAAAACAACTTGAATATTCAGGAGACTGACTGAAGAAATTTACAAGGCTAAATGGTAATCCGGGGTGAAAAAGTGTATTTTGAAGAGGAAGACATAGAATATGGTGTCAAGGAATTTACACAGAGAACATCCTTAATGGGTGCTATGGTAGGAACGTAGATGTCAAGGGAAGACCCAAGTCTTCCTCTCCCAGCTGCTACTGGTAGCTTTGATGGCTGACATATTTAGCAAAGTCTGTCTCTGAAAATTGGCCTTGGTCAAAGAGAACTGCCTTTTCCAAGGGGACAGCATCTCCTTGCTTCAAGGTGGGAAACCTCGGAGGGACTTTCCTGGCTCCAGATCTTCCTCTGAAATGAGCTGAGGTCTTTGTTGCAACAGCTGTGCTGCTCAACTCCTCCCTTGGCCTCAATTTCCTTTCTTCACTCTCCTGCAAGTGTTGTCCCACAGGAATACACTCCCCCTCAAAAAAATCTTTTGAGCACCTCAGAATCTGTTTCCCATGACTTGTCCTAAGATGATATTTGATTTTTAAAAAACAGTTTATTCTTGAAAATATTTACAATGCTGATCAAATAGCCTCATCTTGCTGGTCAAATAGCCCACCCTGCTACTAAGCTATAATCCTAGAGAAACTCTAATGTATTCTTATGTCATGCATTCTTGACATATGTGACTCCATCTTGCTTTTCAAAAGGCATCCTCTCGATAGGACCAGATGTTCACCCAATCAATACAGACTGTACCCAACCAGATGAGGTTGTAACCCTTTACTGTCACCCCTCACCAAAGGACTCAGAGGGATAAAAGAGCAGGACTTCACCAGTTGCACATGGCTGCTTCACTAAACCCCGTCTTGCTGTCATTCATGGTTACCTCCAGGCATCTGCCACTGGCGGCTCTGCCCAAATCAAGGCCTCTTCTTTATAAGACATGGATGATCGTCCATATCTACCCCGGACACTCTCCTTGTCCACATCACTCTCCATGGACTTGTTCATTAAATCTTTTTCCTTTCCCCTTTATATGGATGGATGTTAAATGTTGCTTTGTTTGTTGCAGAATGTTTAATCTAGAACATTTATATATTGATTAAGTACACTGCCATGTTTGGTCTGCAATATTGACTATTGTAAATTGGTTTGAGCCTGTGTATCACTGGCTCTGGCTACCAAGTGAATGGGAAGTACTAAGAAGTAATAAGGAGTACTTAGTACAAAGGAGAATTGCCTCTTGTTGCATTTATGATTGAAAAAGCATTTCCACAAGTACAACCTTGTGGAAAGACACAAACATGTACAGACCTTGTTGTCTGATTTTGTGCCATTCACTACACCTAACAAAAGCCAATAGGAGAGAGGTTTGCAAGCTCATATTGACAGTACTTGTTTGTGTCAACACTCCAGGCAAACATAAAGTAAAGTTGTCCATGATTGGAAAAAGCCAACATCCCTGATGATGGAAATGTTAACTCAACTTATCTATTCATC